CACAATCAACATGTAACATAAGCGAGGAGATAATAACATGGGGGACCTCTCATCAACCACTTGAAAAATTTAGTGGGTTAAAACTGTATTTTTGTAAATTTATAGACCTATGTGTAACAAGGAAAAAGATTAGGAACTGTATTTTAACTTTACTGTCTTCAAAGAAACTAACTCTAAGAATTAGTTCGTGGTCATGATGACCTCTGTTATAAACTATAAGTCATTTTGACTTTTTTAGGTACATAGCTTTTGTTATGCATCTAGATAGAGTGTACATATAGGTGCATAGCAAAAGCTATGTAGAAAAAACAAACGATTTATTATAATTTCAAATGGAGGGAATAGTACTAAGGGTGGAGCTTCCTTAGAACCAACCTGGGCCATACCCCTCTCCTTGTCATCTGGCATGTCCATTAGCGGCGTTTGGTTAGGTTGAAAATAGCAAGATAAATCTAACAAAACCCACTGATTGTTGGTGTTTTGGACCCAGTTGAATCAAATCCCAGGAATATTATATAATTATAGTATTTAGTTTTTTTTCAATGTATCCTAAAATATGATTCAGGATACATAGATGCACTCTCGATGAGTATTCCCTTTATTAATTCAAACTTGATCTATAGTAGAAAGAGTGGTTGGATCAATAAGAGTAACTGATGTTAAACAGAGCAAGGCTACATTTTTTATTTGAAGCATGGAATTTTAAAGTCATGGATGTGTTTGGAGAATGTGTTCAAAGTTGCATGTCAATGAAACAATGTGCAAACTAATAGACCAAGATAACTTTCATTCCAAATAAGGAATTCATCCATAAAACGTAATGTATGAATCAAAATCCTGTTTTTGCCTAGAACCAATAATTCACATATCTGGAATGCATGAATCAAACTCCCACTTTGGCCTAAAACCAATGATTCACTTATCTCTAGATGTCCTGATGATAATAAGGGGATGAAAAGAATCGACTCACAATTAACCACCTAGGTGTCCTATCACACACAAAGGGAGCAGGTATAAATAAGTCGGAGAAAAGGTGAGGGGAATGGCGAGAGAAGCGAAGAAGAAGGTGGTGCACATCCTTGAACACCAAGATGGTACAAGAAAGGAGAGATCTATATAGCGCATTCAAGAATTGGAAAGTACTAAAACTATCTTGATCTCACACAAGTGGCCACCTTAGTGTCCAGCCGGCCAATCCCAGCGGCATAGGCCTAATCACGGTAGTCAAAACATTGCACAACACATTCATACCATAAAATATTTTTTTAAGAAAATACATAATCACAGTAGTCAAACCTGGTAGATTGTCCAACGACCTCTGTTGCAATCAATATCATCGCCGATGTGTGACCTCCAATGTTCCGATTCAAATCCTTGTTGGTGACCTCACATCTTGCTCTACGATTGCTTAGGAAACTAATCTTGCTATTTCACCATGAAGCCTCCACTGGTTCTTGCTATTTCGCCAGATCGAAGTTGGTAGAGATGTGGCAGCGGCGATAAGGGCTGGTGGATGATGGGGAGAGGGTAGGGTGGGGGGGATAAGGGAAAGACGGAGGGGAGGTTCTTTGGGGTAACAAAAATTGTGATAGAGCATAGACAATGTGAAGGCATCAGGTAGGAGCAGATATTTGTAGAGGTTACTAGATGGAGAGAGAAACCGACAAAATATGCTTGCGTGACAGATGTTGTCGAGTTGTGTGAGGTGTGAGAGAGTGGGGCGGAGTGACGGTCTTCCAAAAATTGTGACAGTAGTGCGTGGAAATTGTGAAGGCATCGGGTGGGGTAGCTACTTATAGAAGTAATTGGATGGGGAGAGGAATCGATAAAATATGTGTGATAATGTTTTCAAGTAGTGCATGAGTGTGTTTTATTTTGGTTTAAACATGGGTTGAATAGATGGACAAATAAATAAGCTAGCACAAGGCTCAGTCCAAGCACGACATGACCTAGTCGACCTTGTGTCTAGAATGACATGGGACAATAAGGTGTGCCATCATGGGCCAAAGGGGCGGCCTAGTGTGCCGGCCCAATCCAACCCCATTTATACCTTGTATATATAGCTCGACTCACACCTGACCTGAACTCTAGACACCACTTGTGTAGTCATGCTCACACCACATGCATCCCCAATCGCCTTGGGTCTCGCATCTCACCACTCCTCTTCCTCTCCCCTCTCGTTGTGCCTTATCCCCTATGATGGAACTCACCCACTCTGGTGCTCCCCTTCTATCCAATTGACTTGAAGCTCGATGGCTAATGCATGCTCCCATGTCCCCCTAGATTAAGATTTGCACCTTGCCTTCGCCAAGGTGCTTCTAGCCTAGATCGCTAGGCATCCATCACCTTTCAGTCTTATCCATCTTTGGTTTCTAGAATTACAAGTGTCTCTCAAGAGATTTTCGGGTCATGTCAGCGAAAATCTAATCAGACCATGCCTGATCTATCCCGGTTCACGCCATGTCGTTCTACCCATATGGCCATCTATAGGTTGTATTGCCCAAGCAACAATAGAAGGAAGATATCATTTATCTCCATTTGGGTTCTTCGTTTAAGCTAAATGGAGATTGATATATAACATATACACATCACCTATTTTTTAATGCCTGAAATCTCCAAGTTTTTAGGTGACGAAACAACACAGAATGCTACTAATGGATTTGTTGAGATTAGGGTTCAAGTGTTAGGGCTCTTGGGGTTAATAGAAGTATAGATGAGACTTTCTTTTTAGCAGGGGAAGAGTAGGAAGGAGCAATGGTGGCCCTATGGCTCGAGGGCAAAACAATGCGAGCCACTGACTGTAGGTGGTGGTGGACAATTGGATATGGGAACGATGGGTTAAAGGAACCATGAGATAGGTGAATGGCTAGAGGTGGGGATGAGCTCAACTTGTAATAGCACACACATGTTCGACGATGCAATTTGGGTAGATAGATTTGATTCGATGGTTGAAAGGTGTTGCCTAGAACTTTCCTTTTCTAGGTGCCTGGTAAATAACAACTCCCTAGCATATAAGAACTTAATTTAAGTCATATGTATCCCTAATTACTGCATAGATAAAAAAATTACCTCAACTAACAAAAAATTATAAACTTACTAAAAACTAAATACCTTCAAAGCAACTCCAATAGTGGCCCCTAAAATAGGAGCCTAGTTTTCTAGGGCTCTACAATCAACACTCGACTCCAACAACATCCCTTATTTTTTGCTCCTAGATTTATTTATAGCACACACAGATACATGGGACCTAGGACCCACTTGTAGTTGGGTCCACATGTTTTTTTCTTTCTTTCTTCTCTTTCTGTACACCTTCTCTCTTACCGCTTCTATGTTGTCCTCTGGCCTGTGCTCGGTCCTCTTCCTCCCCAGGAGCGCTTGCACTTCCGGCGATGGATTCGACGGGCATGAAGAGGAAGGAAAGTGAGCAAAGCGTTGTGGAGGTGAGCGAAGTCGGTGAGGAGACATGCCTCATCCAATATCACTGGAAGTGTCAGTGGCTACAGCCTAGGATCTCGAGCTCCACATCGTAGGACATGAGCAGGTCGTAGACCTCATAGCTTAGAGATAGGGGAGCTCTAGGAATGCATAGTCCCACTCGATTATGCGCCCAATTGCAGTAACGTAGGTGTCCTCTTCAAGCACCTGTGGGTGGTGTCGCTTCAAGGAGGTGTTCGTGGTGATGGTGGTGAGGGAGGAGGTAGAGAGGACATTGGGGAGACCTGACAAGCGGTAGAGGGTGCAAGGTTAGTGATGATGAGAGATGATAAGGCAAACTGCTCGGTGAACAGAGCATTGTGGTGGCGACTATGGGATATACAATACCTTAGGAGGCTCATCACCACTAGCTTTGGAGACCCATCACTATTAGTTTTCACAACTGTTGGTGATCATTCATCGAGGTCATCACCACCGGTTTGCAACCAACGGTGATAAGGTACTATCACCGCTGGCTTCTATAATGAGCCGACGATTAAATATCTTTTTTTTTAAAAACACCACCCTAAGGAGGTGCCCATTTGGCGCACTAGCCGCCAGCGTCGGGGAGGCCACGCCTTCATCGTGGGGGCCATAGTCGCGGAGAGTGCCGGGGCTATTGTCGTGCCAAGTGAGGGCCCCCGCTTCGCTAGGGATCACCTGCTCCCATACCAGGGGAGGAGGGAGGCTGCGCTCATGCTATGGGCACCATTGCCATTGCCATGGCAAATGGTGAAGGCCACCACCGCTCCAGGGCTACCATCATGCCAAGTGTCGAGGGCCGCCTTCACACCAAGGTCCGAGCCAGGTAGAGAGATGGAGGGAGCTAAAGGATGAAGAGGGAGCCAAGGAGAGAGACATGAGAAAAGTAACAGATGGCGGAGAGAGAGCGGGCAGCTCCATGCCATCGCGTGGCGACACGTGGGCACACTGGACTCGTCTGTCGGCCATAGCGAAGAAGCACACGTGGGGTGGAGGCGCTAGTCCATGCCACTTGATGGGCTCCGAGGCTAGGCACTTTTCACCTTCGCTTTTGGTTTTGAGCCGGTGGTGGAAATGATTTTCGTCATCTGATTTTAACAGAGCCAGCGCTGAAATACCATTGGTGAAAACCAATTCTGTAGTTGTGATAGCAAGGAATCGAGAAATGGATAGACGTGGCTAGAGTACAACTTTTTGCCTCACCCCTGAACATAGAGTAGGGGATATATTGGAGTTGCTCTAATGACTCATGCTCCCTTATCTTCTTGGTTTTAGCCTATTTTATTTTGTAGACCCCCTAATATTTTAGAAATTGTGATCAGGACCACATAAGTGTTATTTTCATCAACAACCCTCTCCACTTCCCTCCCGGACCTATAAATACCACACATGTGGCTCCTCCTACCACCACCATTTGGAAGAAGATCCTCTCAAGATCGCTCCCCTCGTGTCCCTCTCGCCTAACAGCGAAGGCACTTGCCTGCCTTCTGATCTTGAGAGGATCACTCGTAGAAGCTGCAGCGTAGGGGCGGCCACCGTACCACATGGCTTTCCTCCTCGCTGTAGCTTGCATCTACATAGTTTCACTGCTCACTCTGTTGGTGCTGCTGGTCGAGGCGAGCAGACGGAGAACGGCGGTCGGTGCCGGAAAAACTGGAGGTGGCACCACCGAGCAGGATCAAAAGCTGCCTCCTGGCTCCCTGGGCCTGCCGTTTATCGGCGAGACTCTCCAGCTCTACACCCAGAATCCAAAGGACTTCTTTGCCTCCAGGCTGAAGAGGTATCTTTACAAGTGCATATGATTGCTAGCTGCCGGCCATTGCTGCTCTGTTACTTGCAAATGCTTACCGGTTAATTAGCTAGCTAACATGTCGTCTGTGCCGGCTCGGCCGCATGCAGGTACGGCGAGGTGTTCAAGACGCACGTGCTGGGTTGCCCGTGCGTGATCCTGGCAAGCCCGGAGGCGGCGCGGATGGTGCTGGTGTCCCAGGCGCACCTGTTCAAGCCGACGTACCCGCCGAGCAAGGAGCGCATGATCGGGGCGCAGGCCCTCTTCTTCCACCAGGGCTACTACCACCTCCGCCTGCGCCGCCTGGTCCAGGGCTGGGTCGGCCCCGACGCCCTCCGCGCCCTCGTGCCCGACGTCGAGGCCGCCGTGGCTTCCACGCTCCGCGGGTGGGAAGGCCGCGTCACCAGCACCTTCCATACCATGAAGACGGTAAGTGCCAGCCAAGCCAGCACGGCCCACCAAAGAAAAAGTTGTGTCCGTCCGGCCGGAACTGCTCAATGCGTGTGCTGCCGGCCTTTCATTCTCTTCCACTGTACGGTTGGCGCATGCGTGGACGCGTGGTGCCTGCGCCTACTGCCTATGCCTGCCGTTGTTCCTGTCCTGACGGTGGTCTCCCTCCCTTGGCTTTTTCCTGTCCTTGTTGATTTATTTGCAGCTCACCTTCGACGTCGGCGTCGTCACCATCTTCGGCCGCCGGCTGGCCGACCACGTGAAGGAGAAGTTGAGGAAGCACTACTTGATCGTGGAGAAAGGCTACAACAGCTTCCCCATCCCCGTGCCCTTCACTAGCTACAGCCAGGCCATCAAGGTATGTATACGACCACGACGCGCGCGAGGATTTCTGTTCTTCTTCCCTCCGATCCTCTTCTCGAAACAAGGACGACAGATCAATGGCGCTCGAGATCGATCCCATCCCTTCGTCACAATGTCACCAAACCGCCTCTTGCTCATGCATGCTTGCAGGCGAGGCGGCGGCTGGGCGAAATCCTGAGCGGCATCCTGGCGGAGAGGCGGGCGCGGAGGAGCGACGACCAGGGTGACGACGACGACCTCCTGAACACCCTCATGCGCTACCGCGATGACAGCGGGGCGGCGCTCTCGGACGACCAGGTCGCCGACAACGTCATCGGCGTGCTGTTCGCGGCGCAGGACACCACGGCGAGCGTGCTCACCTGGATCCTCAAGTTCCTCCACGACAACCCGAAGCTTCTGGATGCCGTCAAGGTGAGATCGAGCGCGCCGACCGACCGGCCGGGAGACGACCTTCCACTTCCACAGCAATTTTTTTTTGGTAGCATCGACAGCATATATATGATCAAGAATGACTGGTGACATAGTAGGTAGTACCAACGCTCGGTGTTTGGTTCTAACCATCGTGGTCACCTTGTCCTGGCCTCGCCCCCGTGTCGATTTGCAGGCGGAGCAGATGGCAGCCTACGAGGAGAACGATGGCGGCAGGCTGCAGCTGACGTGGGCGCAGACGAGGAGGATGCCCATAACACACCTGGTACGTTAACTTATGCAGCCAGCACACATCTCTGTCACAGAGAAAGGCCTTCCATTTGGAACTTTGCTCTTGTTTCATTTCAGCTGCTAAGGTTATTAGAACCTCACATACATTAATTAGGGCCTTCTTGCATTTTTTTTTTCTATAACTTGTGAAACTTGTCTGCAGGTTATCTTGGAGAGCCTGAGGATGGCCAGCATCATCTCCTTCACGTTCCGAGAGGCCGTTGAGGACGTGCACTATCAAGGTACGTGTACGTTTCCTTGCTCGAAAATGAAAAGGACCGACTACAAAGGCAGCACGTGTAGGAACATGGAAGCAGCAGTGCCCGGCCTGCTTGCCTTGAGTGCCGCAGCAGTGTAGTGCAGTGTGCTGACAAAGTTAACTACTTTAGCCAGATGGAGGAGCCTTTAGACACCCATGATGTATGAGTAGTACACACCCAATGCAAGGACATGCTGCTTTTAGGGAAAACTTGAGAACCTGGCAAAACTCACGCTCTCTTCTCTTCTTTATATATACGTACCATGAAAATAAGTCATACAGGACAAACACGGTTGTGGAAGACTAAACAATCAACATGCCAAAGGTGGAAAAGTTCTTACGCACGCCACTCTGAAGCAAGAATTTTGCTAGTGTAGACTTAACTACTAAAAAGCACAAAAATGACTGAAATTGCTTATATCCTAGTCCATCCAATTCAAATTGTAGGTCGTTCTAAAAATAGAATTATTTTTCCAAACATAGATTTTTGCTACATATCTAAATATAATTATGTCTAGATATAAAATAAAAGGTATATCTATTTAGAAAAAAGCCAGAACAACTTATAATTTGGAACCATGAGTGTATTCAATAAAAAAAGGATGATAACAAAATTCACAAGGGATTATTGAACGAACGTTCCTGACGAACTCTTTCACATGCAAGTTCTGTCGAGTCAAATCCACCTAGCAGCGTATAATAGGTGGAGATCCTATATATAGCATCATCCAGGTGGCTGAATCCATCGTCATCTTGCATATAAGCCTCAGAATTCATCGTCTTGCATATAAGCCTCAGAACATTAAAAGGGGGAGGCATTATTAATTAGTCTTGAAAAACCCTACCAAGAAGGAGACATTTTTGTGCCTGGATCGGCTGGTCAGCTGTTTGTATGAACACGGCTGCATCCGAGCGTTGATTTTGGGCGTCGGCCCAAGCTGGGACGGTCCATTCTTCACCTCTCGTTTCCGATTAATATCTGAGCCATCCGCCTGTGCCGCTGCTCCACTCCATTCCTGTAGGCAGCATTACTGCAGGAATCAATGAGACAGACAGGGGAAAGCCGGCCGGCGACGGTGGACGGACACGTGCAGTTCGTTGTTTGGTTATTCGATCGGAAGACATGATTATGATGAGCATTAGTTGCGGCGTTTAATCTGTAAAGCTAGCTCCGGACTGATTGCGTTGGATTATTGTTTGGTTTGCAGGGTTCCTGATTCCCAAAGGGTGGAAGGTGATGCCTCTGTTCAGGAACCTGCACTACAGCCAGGACTACTTCCAGGATCCACACAAGTTCGACCCTTTCCGATTCAAGGTAATGAATGAATGGCCTAATGGGGTCAGGTCAGGATGATCGCATGGCATTAGCGTGACGTCAGCATAAGCATCATCACTGATCGAGCTGCAAAAGATTTGGTTGCACTAGGATAGATATCCAGCATAATAATAGCAACACAAGTTGTAATCCACAGAGCGCAGAGTAGCTCTGTTTTTCGTGGCTTGCTTGCCTTGCCGGTCAGCTAGTATCTGCCAGTTATCGTTTGCTGCTGCGATCAGACAACTGAAGTCAAGGACAGCAACAATTACCCCTCTTTGTTTTTTAGGTAGGGCATCAATTAACCGGCGGCACAGTCATTGTTGACTCGTGCTGTGGTGGACTCGTTAAACGCTACTCCTAAGGGACCAATCACCCGGCCAGGCCTGCAGTTGGGAGAGAGAGAGAGAGACGAGAGACAGACAGCGCTCGCTTATCAGTGACACCTCTAGCTCTAGCTTTGTTACCGCACAGCCAAGTGACAGGCCACACGACAAGCAGTAGTCACCGCACCACACCTGACCAGCACGTACGCATGCTTGTTTCGTTGGCAGGCTAGAGAATGAATGAAACAGCAGTAGGCTTAAGTAGCATTAGCGGCAGGAATGCATGTATCATCCAGACGGAATCGGAATTAGTCGTTTTGGATGTACTGACGCGTGCGTCGTGTTCGATCGCATCGCAGGTGACGCCGCCGCGTCCCGGCACGTTCCTGCCGTTCGGGAGCGGCGCGCACGCGTGCCCCGGCAACGACCTGGCCAAGCTCGAGATGCTCGTCCTCATCCACCGCCTCGTCACCACCTACAGGTATATATACTATGCATTTTCCTTTCCTCGTACCATGCAGCTCCTGTTTGGATCGGCAGCTTGCTTTATTTTCTTCAGACGTTTATTAATTTGGTGCTTGCTTGGCAGGTGGCAGGTGGAGGGGTCGAGCGACGACGTGACCTACAGCCCGTTCCCGGTGCCCAAGGGCGGCCTCCAGGCGAGGCTCACCAGGGCCGCCGCCGCCTGAGCGCTGCATGTTGGAGGATCTGCTCTGATCAGATCTCCTGGCGCTAATAATAGCTCGCTCCTTCGGACCAAATGCGAATGATGCAAGCACCCAGGAGATAGATACGCATAGGCCCCCGGCAGTCATGTGGCGGCAGCAGCTGCTGTACTACCCTTCTGCATGCGTTTCCTTTTCCTTCCTTCTCGTGTCGGCTACCGGTGGACTAATGTTCGCCGGCCCTGGGGCATGCATGTGTTCCTTCCTTCGGTCCCCTTGATCGCTTACACATGTAATAATAATAATAGCTGCTCAATCAGTGGGATGACAGTGTAGAGCGTCCAACCGGTCCGGTTTTATATATGCATGCTGTTCTAAAAAGAATACATACAATTCATGTGTTCGTCAAACGTCTAGTTTTGAACGTACGAGAGTGTATGTATGTGATGGTGGATGCCTGCTGGGTGGTGATCGATCTGCTTGGGAGGCCTCCGTCTGAAACAAAACAGCTCCTAAGACAAGCTCTCTGGGCGCCTTGGCATTCCCGAGTGGGTTGTGATATCCCAGATTCCTGGTCCCAGCTAGCAGCAGCAGCTCCTTTTCGGTGCAAAAGCAACCAGGGCATCATCCTCGCTGTCAGACTGCAGATCATTGCAGAGCAGGATCGATCGTAGAGTAGCTTTTTTTCTCCTGATGTTGATGAGTTCTCTGTAGTCTGTACGTAGTGCATCCTTTCAGTGTCAAGGCGTCCCTGCGATCCGTGATACAGAATATATATATATATATATATACTGGGTTGGTTGTCTCTTGTCTGCAAGAGCACATGTGCCCCCACACAAAGGCCACAAGAAGACTAGAAGAGCTAGTGATTGTGCTGTGTTTTCATCAGATCGACGGAGACGACTCCGTCGGTCCATCCATCCTCTACTAGCTCGTCGGCAAGGCCACCACGTACCCGGTCGTACTCGTACGTACCAGCCCGTCACGTACTGACCTTGACTTGACGTACGTGCCCACGGAGAAATAAGGAGACACGGACCACAGTGCTCTCAGTGTGCCAGCCACAGCTGCTCCAGTTCGGTCACTGCTTTCAGCGATCGTGTGAGTTGGCATCCAGTTCTTGTAGGGAGCCGGTAGGTGCTCTTCGGACAAGAGCAAGTCCTTTCGTGGGGTTCAGCTCGAGACAAACTAGTGTTGGAGTCCAGCTAACGAGCAAGTACTCGCAGTGAGTCAGTGGTGACCGGGCAGTGGCAGCGCAGGGACGGCCGGGCGACATCGCGACAAGCCCCTGCCGGCGCGCGCGTCGCTGAGGCATTGGCGAGCCTTGCCCTGCTTTCGGAGCCGTTAAGGTCTCGCTCACCTCCCGACCAAAGTACACGAACCGTGCCGAATAACCTTTCAGCGATTCTACGCTGAATCCACACTTAGTACTCCTCAGTGGGAGATTTCAATCTTATTAAATGAAGCCGTCGCATAAACAAAAATGACGACATATCAAGATATATTTATAATAAAGAGAGAGAAGAGATGGATTTCATCATGATAGAATCGGGTGTACACTAGTATTTCCAAAGCTATGGAATCATGTTGAAACTGACATCGACGAAGGCTAGAGTTTCATCTCATTTGACTACGCCCACTGCTATGCGTCATAATTAAATGCTACGAGTAAGCTATAAAATCATGAAATGAGACTGTACACTGAGAAACTCTATTTTATTCAACAGCCCCAACGCCTTTAGATGATGTGGCAGTCTTGATAATCGTGGAATGAAACATGGCATTGAGGATGGCCTTGATGAACATGTCTCTCAACATCCAATCGATTGTTAAGTCTATGGATCATGATCGATGGTAGATAATGCTTTTAATTTTCTTCCGTGTGTCAAAGCCGCCATCACCTTCTAAGTCATTCTCAGCTCTGACGGGCTAAGCTGTTGGCATTGGCATCAATGTACCCGCTGTCCCATTTCCCTTCCTCTTCTATGACGGCTCCTATTGCTAGTTAGATGTGTGACACCTGTCACCTCGCTAATCTGTTGGTGTCATTCCATCATCTCTCTAGCTATGGAATCATGTTGAAACTAGCATCGACGAAGGCTAGAGTTTCATCTCATTTGACTACACCCACTGCTATGCGTCATAATTAAATGCTACGAGTAGCCTAGAAAATCATAAAATGAGATTGTACACTGAGAAACTCTACTTTATTCAACAGCCCCAACACCTTTAGATGATGTGGTAGTCTTGATAATCGTGGAATGAAACATGGCATTGAGGATGGCCTTGATGAACATGTCTATCAACATCCAATCGATTGTTCAGTCTATGGATAATGATCGATGGTAGATAATGCTTTTAATTTTCTTCCGTGTGTCAAAGCCGCCATCGCCTTCTAAGTCATTCTCAGCTCTGGTGGGCTAAGCTGTTGGCATTGGCATCAATGTACCCGCTGTTCCATTTCCCTTCCTCTTCTATGATGGCTCCTATTGCTAGTTAGATGTGTGACACCTGTCACCTCGCTAATATGTTGGTGTCATGCCATCATCTCTCTAGCTATGGAATCATGTTGAAACTGGCATCGACGAAGGCTAGAGTTTCATCTCATTTGACTACGCCCACTACTATGCGTCATAATTAAATGCTACGAGTAGCCTAGAAAATCATAAAATGAGATTGTACACTAAGAAACTCTATTTTATTCAATAGCCCCAACACCTTTAGATGATGTGGTAGTCTTGATAATCGTGGAATGAAACATGGCATTGAGGATGACCTTGATGAACATGTCTCTCAACATCCAATCGATTGTTCAGTCTATGGATCATGATCGATGGTAGATAATGCTTTTAATTTTCTTCCGTGTGTCAAAGCCGCCATCGCCTTCTAAGTCATTCTCAGCTCTAGCGGGCTAAGCTGTTGGCATTGGCATCAATGTTGTTAGATAATCTGTTGCATCCCTGTGTGAACACACGGCTGAAAGGTCGAGATGACGACTAGAGGGGGGGGGTGAATAGTCCTTTTTAAAACTTAATCGCGTCGGCTAACCGAAACAAGTGCGGAATTAAAACTATCGGTCTAGCCAAGACTACACCTCTCTATCTATGTTCTTTAGCACCTTTCAAATATACTAATTACGCAATTAAGGTGCCGGGCTAGCTAGAGCTTCACCTAAGCAATTTTAGGAGCAAGGTCACACAAACCTATGTCACTAGTACTTTAAGCGACAAGGGAGCTCCTACACATGCTAGTAAGCAAAAGCACAAAGCCACCTAAGCTCACTAGCAATGCTCAATAACAAGGCAACCAATGCCAAATTAGAGAGCGCAAATACTTAGCTACACAAACTAAGTAATGTGACTAACAATGTTACTCAAACCAAATTAGCCACGCAAGGGAGCTACTTCTATGCTACACAAGCAAGAAGGTAACTAATATGCTACACAAGCAAACTAATTACAAGAGCAACTACACAAGCTTAATGTATATGAAAGTGAATGCAAGCTTGTGTAATGGGGAAGCGAACCAACGGGAAGAACAAGGTTGACACGATGATTTTTCTCCTGAGGTTTACGTGTTTGCCAACACGCTAGTCCCCGTTGTGTCGACCGCTCACTTGGTGGTTCGGCGGCTATTAGCATCACCCGCTAAGCCCGCATGTCGGGTGCCGCAAGAACCTACCCCTTGAGTGAGGGTAGCTCAATGACACGCTTTACTAAAGTTGCTCTTCGCGGCTCCCGCGGGGCGAGCACAATGCCCCTCACAAAGCTCTTCTCCGAAGCCCCGCACAAGCTTCTTGCGAGCTTCGACGGAGACCACCACCAAGCCGTCTAGGAGGTGGCAACCTCCAAGAGTAACAAGCACCACCGACTTGCAACTCGATCACCTAGTGCCACTCGATGCAATCTCATGATGCAATCACACTAGAATCGCTCACTCACACAATCGAATGATCACTATCAAGTATATGTATGATGGAGGGCTCCCAAGCACTCACAAGCATGGACACTAAGTCCTCTCAGGTGCTCAACACCAGCCATGGCCGAGGGCCGCTTCTATTTATAGCCCCAAGGGCTAAACTAGCTGTTACCCCTTCACTGGGCAAATGTCGGGACGACCGGACGCTCCGGTCCGATCGACCGGACGCTGGACCTCAGCGTCCGGTCGTGCGATGCACGCCACGTGTCCCCCTCCTTCAAACGCTGTCACTGGATCTCAACGGTCATCTATCGACCGGACGCTCCAGCATGAACTGACCGGACGCAGCAACCCTAGCGTCCGATCGTTTCCAGTAAGGTACCGGACATGACCGGACGTGTCTGGTCGGATGCGATCGGACGCAGCACCAGCGTCCGATCACTCTCAGCTTTTTTGCTCTGCCTGCGTCACCATACGTCAGCTCTGACCGGACGCAGGACCCCAGCGTCCGGTCATTACGTGACCAGCGTCCGGTCTACTCTGTGAGACCCTGTTTTTTTTGTCTAGGGCGCCGGTGGCACCGTCGGACTGTCCGCACTCTACGGGCAGACACTCCGCCGGTGGAGTTTCTCCTTTCGCCTCCATTTCTTCACCGAGTTGATCCACATCAACTCCAACTTCATCTCCTTTGTAAATGTGCCAACCTCACCAAGTGTACACCACCATGTGTATGTGTGTTAGCATTTTCATAATCATTTTTCAAAGGATTAGCCACTCAACTTGCCACGCCACTCGATCAACGATGCAAAGTTAGATCACTCGAGTGGCACTAGATGACAGATATGCAAACAAGTTTGCCCCTCTTTATAGAACGGCCATCTATCCTAAATCCGATCATAAACTTCTCTACACACCTATGACCGGTGAAATGAAATGCCCTAGGTTATACCTTTGCCTTGCGCATTCCATTCCATCTCCTCCAACGTCGATGCAACACATGCACCAACACGATCAACAATGATATGATCCACTTCATATCATCACGTGATCATATTGGTTCATCGATCTTGACTTCACTTGCTCTTCACCATTGCCATCGTCCATCA